TTGGCATTAAAGCCATCTATATTGCAAACATGTCGGGCTCTGAAAACGAGAACCGAAAACCGAGACCCGAAAAACAAGTGAATTCTTGATTCTGACCAGTTCCTCATTCTAACTTCGGGAAGAAATTGCACCAACAAGTGATAGGGAACTCACACGATTAAGCAGGAATAGAGTGGTTGCTATGACAGTCTGAAAGCCGGTACAACAATAAATGACTAGAGGTGGGGAAATAATTGTATTTCAGTGCTTCATCACCTTAACGAAATAGAGTGAATACATCTCATATTTCAGAGAGAATGCCAAATCTGCTAAGCATAAGAGAGTCGTCATATGTCGGAAGCGTAAAGCAAGGATGACTCTCAGGCACACTCTGGTTCTACCGCATTCCAGAGAAACTTGGACAACCAACTAATCCAATAACAAAATTCGAAGATGATTGACGGAGATTCCCCAATTTTGATGCCATCAACTTAAGTGAACAAAGCAGAGAAATCACATTGTGTTAAGCGTTTACTCCAGACTACTCACCTGCCGTAGACATATTCGAAGGGTTTATCGCAGCTGGCCTCCAGTTCAGATAGTACCGGAGTCAGAATCCGCCATGCCTCCTGAAGCTCGTCGGCGCGGACAAAGTTGGTCTGAGAACCGCAAAATACGTCCAAAAGCAGACGTTCATAGGCGTCGGGGAGTTTGATGTGCTAATTAAATAAACAGTTACATAACCTGGTGAAAAAAGAAAATCTAATAAATCAGCAGATTGATAAAAATGGAAAAAAATGTTGCAAATAATGAAAACATCTGTATAGATGCTTTACGAATGATTAGACATGAAAGTATAAAATGTCAATTAAATGACTTTGATTTCCTAGACAGTGCCAGATAAAAAGATTCGTAGGTCTATCTTATCATAAAAATCATCGGTTTCCTGTTGACCTGAAGTCCTTTGATATTACTATGAATTTTAGTTTTCTATGTGATGCAATTCAAATCAAGTCTTAAAAAATTCAACAGATATGTCGAACAACCATGAGTAGCATTATCACCAAGTTAATGAATAGGTCCCTTTCTTTTGGTAGATTGATCAGCATCCTCTCTACTTTTAAGGCAATCAAATAAACATGAAGATGATCTTTACAGATTTATTACACCATTCCATACGTTCATTATAGTGAACAAACCGATATATTTGAAACTATTCAACCTTGTGTCCGGTTTATGTCGTGTGACTACATGGCCTTTTTAGACATTTTTGTGTACACCTAGTATTCGTAGAATAAAGCTATATGTCCCACTAATATACAAGAGATAATATAAACACACATTTTTGAAGTAACCGGATCTGAATAATGGGTAAACTACTTTAATCAAATTGAGCATAACTGAAGAAAACAGCATTAATAAATTGATAACCGTTTTTTATATCTACCTCCAGGCTAACTGGCTCAGCACTTAAGCAAGAAGGCATGACGACAATGTTGGTAAATTTGGAAATATTTTAGGCTCTTGACCTTGTTTAAAATAGGCTTAATTAAAAAAGAATTTCTTATAAAACAGATGTTATTTTCAGCAAAGCCTACAGGATAATTTATCATTCAAAAATTGTTTCAAATTGCCTGACTTTCTATCCAATTAATGTGTGCACTAAGTGTCTCAAATTGACAATGATACTTGTTTTCAAAAATCCCTAATTTGCCGGCACTGAAATAAAAAAAGAATTATCAGTAAAGCGTGTATATACATTCATAATAAGTAGTAGCAGTATACCTTAAATAAGGACTAAAGTCACTCTAGGTAGCATAAAGTGGTGAAGTACTGAAAGTGAATCTTCTAACATCTCAATGAGTAGGCCTCATGATACCGATGAATTGCACTTAATCTTATCCTCCAAAAGTATTCTGATTCATGGTCGACTGCAGATTTGAATTCCTCTGCCTCATCAACATCACCACTATTCCATACACTGGTACCAATGGGTCACAGGCCAGACATAAATTTGAGGACAAGCAAGACCTCTCACATATTGCATTTGTTATAATGGGAATGCAGATTAGGCAATTTTTTTTGATAGCAGTTGATAAGGTTTACTTATATTCAGAATACAATCTATTCTGGATACAAATGAAAGGATAGGTGAAATTCAATGATTTCGTGAGTTCTATTTATTAAATTGTGTGAGAAACTCCACTTATAATCCTTAAATCGCGATATATAAACTAGGATTACCAAGTCCTTAATCACGAATTCTTAAGGGTTTCGAAACAGGCATACATAGGATATAAGCAGTCTTGTCGATTGTAATAACAAATACACGTTTTTCGTAGGCAAGTAGAGCTTCGAGACTACCAGTAAATCAGTAATATGAGATGTATTCACCCAATTTTGTCTAAGCTGATGAAGGACTGGTAGTAAATTTTCCCCAAATGATATGAGTAGATCCGACGTTTCCATTCAATTTCACACACATTATGTGAAATTAAATGGAAACGTCGGATCTACTCATATCATTTGGGGAAAATTTTACTACCAGTCCTTCATCATCTTAGCCGAAATAGGGTGAATACATCCCAAATACACGTTTACCTCATCGACAATCCCGCTACACATGTGATTTTGAAAAAGCCTAGCTCGACATAAAAGTCGCATTTTCCCTGTCGCACAATGACACTCATCGCTGTGTAGCGAAGTAGTAGCGTATAGTTACGATACACATCATCATGTATAAAATTCAATTTGGGTGCCTAGACGATGAGGTGAGTAGAGGCTGCCGAATCTTAAATGGAAGGTCAGATACTCTTTTGCCGGAACCGATTATTATACAAGAACCAAACTTTTTGTTAATGATATAAATGAGCAAAAGCGAAAGATACGGCATCATATACAAGAGGTGGATCAGTGAAGTCATGACAGAAACAAGCTCAAAATCTGAGTTAAGACTGACCTGATAACGCCTAGTGTACGTTAGATCCAGTTCCGTCTCCTCAGGTTTGAAGCTCATTCCAGGTCGTTTCGTCATCATCTTCATGTACACAGCTTCATCGGGCTGAACGCGGATGACCAGCTCGTTTCGTTGCACCTCGCCCTCCTCGAAGATGTCAATAATGACGTCCTTGAACTGAACACGCACTTCTGCCTTCCGGTTGTTGAGGGCTAGACAAATGATAAGACCATACAAAAAGGTGAAGCGTACTTTCGTTCAAATAATAAATGTGATGAAATCCCCTGATGGTGTCAAAGGCATCGGCGAAGAAATGCTCAAACGGATACCTAAGCAAGCCCTTTAGAGCAAGACTGGTACCGAAATAGCATATGGACTTCGTTTGTTGATCAAGACCTGCTGTGATGGGTCCCGATGAGGCTTAGACAAGGTTAACAACGCAAACCGTCCAGGAAATGGAGGCTTTTTGTAGATTATTTAAATGACAAAAGCGAGTTCCATCTGCAATTAATAATAAAAAGGTCAAAAATGTGTGCTTAGTCCAGTGACCGACCGTTCCCCTATTTCATGCAAGCATGTGGTCATCTGACTGTCTTTTGACCTGCCTAACATGTGGTAGTATAGCCGCAAGCTTTTGATCAATCGCATTCTCAGTCACTTTTGGAGTATACACAATCTGAGGCTTTGTGGGCATATGACCATAATGAAGAAGGGCACAGCAAGGGGTGAGCCTTTCAAACTGCTCCTGCGAGCAGTCATGTTGGGAAAAGAGGTCAACCTGAGTCTATACAACGAGATCAACGTTGGGAAGGGCAATATGATCCCACTATTCACAGCCTTGCAAACAATGTAAGGATTAAATTTTTTTCAAAGTGAAAAGCATTCTCAAGCAAAATAGATGAGAAGCTCAGATAAAAGTGTTTAAACGAAATAGACAGATTGACGTGTTTTTGTTGAATTCACTTGGTTAAATGCACACAAACATTATTAGATAACGATCTTTCGCAGCTAGCAACAAAGGATTATTGTCAATGGAGGCCAAATTTGTATGGTGCTATAGGAACTGATAACGACTATACATAGGGATTATGCCTTTCAATTCACATCTACTGTTCATAGCTCGGTGCTGTGACGGGGTCTGTGGAATTGTATGAAAGAGAAAAGATAAGCCTTTTTACACTGGAACCGAAGAGAAATGTATAGTGGACTTGGTCAAGCTGAAGGTCACAGTCATATCGAGGGATTTCAGGTCAATAAAAATTCGACATCTTTTTATAAAAAATCCGATCCACGAAGCTATTTATCAGACACTTTATTATGAGAAGAAATTCACAAGCAAAATGTATTAATATAACTGTATATTAGGGAAATTGGGGAAATAGAGGATACAATGTTATCCAGTTGATTTTTTGGCTTTCTTGATACCAATTAGGCAAAAAGATGCATTTTCCATTCAGGCCATTCTAAAACACATAGAAACAGACAATGAAACAATTTAACAACCAACCTTTGCCAGCACGGAGAATAAAGGGTACCCCCTTCCATCGCTCATTGTTGACGTAGAGAACAGCACAGCCGTATGTAGGCGTCTTAGAGCCTAAAGTAGAAGAGGACAAGGCAAA